CTTACTCCATATCGATTAATTTTATTAGCATACACTTTTCGTAGTTCTTACACCGATATCGAAGGCTTTGGCCTGAAATCGTATATACCACATGTACACTTTACCTTTGAACGATTCAATCTGCATCCCAGTACGTAAGTTGACATATAAATGAAGATTCTGTTGTGGTAGATTTTTCTGCCGTTGATAAAAGCGTGTTTTGTTCTACGATAATGTTTTTGAAAGTAAAGTAAAAGGCAAAATAATTTTTTCGAATAGTTTGGGTATTGAAGATCTGAATCACATAGTATATAAATTGTTACTGTTGGATTTGGAATACTGTATTTATGAATAGGGCCTATTGTCAAGGAGAATTTACAAGCTTTTTGGGAAGTGCCAGATCTCTACTGATTTGCTGAAGATATGGGATAAACCGGTTCGGAAAGCCAAGCAGCACACATTCTCAGAAGCTGATTGCGGTATTCCGTCGGGTCCAAGCACCTTTTTTAATGTCCAACTTAATATAATTGATCAAAAAACATCAAAGCGGACACTCAGCTCCGTGACGTGACATCCTGTTGATTACAGAATTCTTTATTTCATGTTGTGAAATCATTCAAATTGTCTTCGAATGTTTTCCATAATACGACTGCGAAATAAACATAAGTCATTTTCGTCTTTCCACTCTCTTGCTGTCCCTGATGTTCGCAGGACATACGTTTGATGGCATATTCAGAATATCTCGCTCTTATTTTTCTAATATATTTCCAAAAATAAACTGCGCATTCCGTTTTTCATCTTCTTCTCAGTTTTTTTCGATATATAATCATTGTACACATTTTTCACTCATTTTTTTACATCTGATCTTCAATTTTGAAACTGATTGTATGTGAACATTTCTGTTCGAATCCTTTTATAACTCATATGTGCTTCTCTTTTATTGTTTTCAATTGTAGATCAAATCTTTAGAAAAACCAACAAGGATAATTTTAGAATTATACAGTATATATTGGCACACTAAATTCGAGCAATCCGTTCATTAATTCCTATCGTAGAAATAAATTCAACGCTTATCGTCTACTGATTGTAACTCGTAGAGATCAAGCCAGTTGACTGCGCAACAAAGGTGTTCAGTTTCTTAGTAATTGCCTTACTTAAAAATCTGTACGTTGGTGTTTTTGTTCATTTCAAGACTAGCTCTGGTATCAACTCGTTATACTTTAACACCTGGATGGTGTTTATCTCATCAATGATGCATCTGTTTTTCTGCATTTTTATGTGTACGACTGCTGAACACATAAATCAAGAATTTTACTCATTATTGTTATAATTTTCATTAAACTGTTGAACAGTTATTCAGGACATTTCACTACATCAACATTTTCAGTCACCTCCGAACCAGGGGAAATATTGGGGAGATTGTAATCAAATCCATGATTAATAGCCTCACAGTTCGGGTATGCTTCTCCTCAAATCGCATATCCGGTATCTAAGATGCTATTATATATGTCCTATCGTGTCATCGGTGGTAGTTCTATATATACCATCCAATTATCAATATAATTCCAAAAACATTTAATTTTCGTGTAATACCTGGTTCAATGCTGTTCGTCATCATAACTACAAGTTTCTGTTGATACTATTACGTTTAACAGCTATGAACGACGCACCCTCCATGTTCACCAATCACTTGTCGTTTGATCTCTGGTCTTTTCTGTACATCACGTAGGGTATCATCTATAATTTCTCCATCCGAAAATAGATGAATCGTAACCACGACTCGCTTAACAAATACTGATATCACAGGGATGATTTACAGTAGAAGTTAATTGTGGCGCTGTTAACACGAGGGCCAGAACCGTTAGGCTTGGGTGCAAGTACGTTTTTCTGCGGGGAGGAAGGGGTTAAGCTGAACATCCGGGTTTTGCCGCTCTGGCGGTTTGGACTACATGTAGCAGCCGCAGAGCCACAAAAATACCCGTGGCTCGTAAACTCCGAGGATGCCCTAGCTACGTGCCTCAACGCGGAAGGCAGCGCAGCCACCTGCAGGAATTCTGTGTGTGGGCGTAAAACCAAAGGCTGGCCCCTGCGAGCCTCGGCGTCCAGTGCGAGTCTATCTATGGAACAGTGGGTGGGGGTGTCAAGCCTCAACTATTAACGCGGCGCCATCTGCGCCCGCGTTCCTCATTCAGTGCATCGGTAGTTGTACGTGTATAGTTACAAACGAGCGGTGTAGCGCGAGAATGTCCCGGCAGAAGTAAGTGCAGACAATCTCACGTGCTGTAGGCACACGTCGCCACGACGGTTAAACTTTTTGGCGTCAGGCCATGTGACGGTAATCTGTCACGGACAGAGGTCCGACGGCGCGCATTCACGCGGGCTTGTATTTTCTGCGTAAGGAAGCAGCTGTTTCGAAAGGAAACAGGTTCGGAGTGTTTTAATATTAAGCAATTCAATGGTAACTTGTACATAATCTTTGAATATATTATTTTTATTCTTGTCTATTGAAATTTATTTCTTATTTCACTAACGTCACAATTAAGAAATTCTCAGTTTAGTCTCAGTCCTCTGGCTGTTCTGATGAATAGATTAGTAATGTCCCATTTTTTCTTTCGGCGTACGAAAATTTTTCTTTATTACTATTCTTGGTACCCATTTACATTTATGGTTTTGTTCCTCATTTCCATTTTTGTTTATGTTGTCAGTTCCAGAACGTAGTGCATTGAGATGCCCTTTCTTC